CCGTAAGCAACTGGGGGAATTGGTAATATTACTCATTTACACAAAAGGAATTAATGCCATCTGAAAAGTGGATCATGTATTTTAAGAGGATGATGATCTTTTTTTGGTGTGTGCATGTGCATGCAGCTATTAAAGGCACAAAGAGTGACCCGAACTGAACCTACACTTGAGGCACCTCCAGCCTCTATAAACGTAACAGGCTGCTGAACTTTCCAGTGCCGCCCTCCGATCCCAGGGAAGCGACGGGGCAGCCTGAGCTGCAGAGCAGGTCTGCAGGCAGATCAAGGCCTGGTCTGCAACACCCAGCTCCATTTTCCCGTTATATTTTCCCCTCAAGCTACAAAGACAGCCAGCGAGAAAGCAGTTTTTAAGACTTCCTCAAACTAAACAGCACTTTGCACACTTTGCACAGAAAAAAAGCGATGCCAAACGGCAGGGTCAGCAGAGCACAATCCAGGGTTTTGTTTTTTCTTCCTGTAATTACTAATTAACTCCAGGGACATTGTTTTTTTTAAGTTGCTGTTATCTCTATCTCCATTTGCGCGTTGTTCTGAAGAGTCCCCCAACAATTGGGCAGAGTTCAAAGATCCGGGTCTGGGTCACGCCACCTTCCTCCTTTAGGAGGGACCTTTATGGTCAACCAGAATGGTGTTTGTCCTTAAAAGCAGAGCTACACCCCGCTGCTCCCAAAGTGTGGATTCAGCTATTCCTCACATTTAAGAGATGTTTTTCACAAGTGAAACAATAACTAGGCCAATGATGCAACACGACAACTTCTTTCTTCTTTAGTAACAGAAAGAAAGACTTTTGAAACTGCAAACCCAGACTTTTATGTATTTATCATCCTAAATTTGCAACAATTTTCTTGTCAAGCCCTCTGTATTTTCAACCATCTAATGTCCTCCCACAGTTGTTGCAATGCAACTTTCATTACGACTCATGGCCATTTCTGTAGCTCCAGGGAGCTGCCATGTGAAACACTCAGCCTTGGATTCCTTTTCCTCCTGCTACCAGAGACGATGAGCACAGGAGGGCTCTCGGAGTAGCAGCCATGTAGTTCCCCTCTGTGCCTCAGGACCTTTAGTACTTTTGAACATTTTCCATGTTTTTCACAGAAGCACCAAGCTGCTGAGGTTGGAAGCAACCTGTGGAGATTGTCTAATCCAACCCCTCTGCCCAAAGCAGGGTCAACCAGAGCAGGTTGCTCAGGGCTGGGTCCTCTGGGCTTGGGCATCTCCAGGAATGGAGACTCCATGGCACCTCTGGGCATCCTGTTCCAGTTCTCAATCACCCTGAAAAACTCCCCAATATAGAATGAATAACACAAAAAAGAAGAAAAAAAGCATCAGCTTCCAATGGCGACTTTGTTAGCTACAAAGGGATGGCACAAAGCACATGGCACGAAGACACTCACTAGCTCTGATGGGGAAGGTGGGTATGGCAAGAAGCATTTAGAAACTTCTCGTTTGCCTTGCCAATGCCAAAACAAAATAACCCACAAGACTTGTAACTCTCAGTGTCTAGCAAGTGTGCACAAGGCAAAGGAACAGCTCCGGATTTCCACAGGGGTGCTGAGAGACTCAGGTGAGACCAGACCTGGGCTGAGGGAGAGCCTAGGGCCACAGGGACACTGCACTGGGATCAGGTAACTGGGAATGGGACATGAGGAGAAAAACAGTGCACGGAAAACAAGGAGAAAAGACACAGGTAGTGCAACTTCTCAGCTGCTCTGCTGTCTTCTCCAGCCCTGCCATTTCCTGCTCTGCTAGTCTCATCTTTGAGATTCCTCTCAGGGACTGCCAGAGGAATCTGTTTCTGTTCTTCCCTGCCAGGAAGAGGCCACAGTAGTGCCTTGAGAGAGGCTGAGCAATGATCAGAAACAACATCTAAAAGAACCTGAAGTCAAACACGCTTCATGTTCAGCTGCCAGGCTCTAGGCAGGGTCTCCTACGAGCTGGCAAAAGTCATCTCATTACTTTGCCACAGCCTGAAACCTGGGAGGAAAGACAAGCAGGCTGCGTGGCAGCAGGACAGCGTCGCTGCTGCTCACTTATCGTGGCAGCAAAGGGAGGTTGTATTAAAATGATTCCTCTATCTAGGAAACGTGGAGATTTCCTCCTTCGCAGGCTGACAAGGTGGCACATCCTGGTGATTGGTTTCTTCCTAAAATACATACCCCAGAAACTGGCCTGAGAAGCATCCTGAGCTGGCTGCACAACAGGATTGAGAAAGAGAAAAAAAATAAAAATAAGAATCAGATCATCAGAATTGTCTGCCTCTATCCAAAGGAATGTGGCTTCCCAACATGGCTTGTTTTTCCTCTGGTTTGGAACATGCTGCATCCTGGGCATCACTTTGCACACTGAAACTTGTTCTGATTAGCACTAAGGGCAAGGAAATAGCACAGGAGCGACTGCAGGAGGTTCCGTGTGACAGCAGCAGGCACCGGCCACGCTCACCGAGAGGAGACACTGGCTAACAATGCACTCTTGTAAGAAAGAAGGTTCACCAACTTCTGTCAAGCAGCTGCAAACAAATGTTTAGCTAAATGCAGTAAGCAGAGAACAAATTTAGAACAAATACAGCGACAAGAGTAAATCGTTACTCTCAGTTACTCCTCTAAGTTGCACACGACGTGTGAAGATACCCAACACCGCTTAACGTGACACTGTGCGTGCCATCCAAAACAGGACATTTACCACCCACAGCAGCCACGTTCCTCATGGTATTGGAGAGTGCAAGAACGACCGCAAATACCGTGCTGAAGGACAAGGCTGTGGCATGGCAAACTTCCCTTTTTCTTTTTAACTTGGGGAAAAAACAAAACAAAAAAACCCACTCTATTTCTGGCATCACACAAGTTTAAATGAGCTACAGGTTTTTAGCTATTTGTAGAGGATTCTCACTTTACTCTCAAGCTGAGGAGGATTCAGAGACAGGAAACACAGCAGGATCTTCCAAACCTGTAACAATGTCCCTTGGAGGTGCTCAGCTCTCACCAGACTCAAATGAACATCATCAGCTGCACCGGATAGTCCCAAGGAGGCCCAGAGACGGGCAGCACGGCCCTGCCTAGCCCAGTACTTCTGTTTAATCATTACATTTCCCTACCCCACATCACTTAGACAATAATTATGGCTATTCTTACCTGGGGACAAAAACCTCATTGTGAAGATAGTTCTCAAAGGTCTTGCGGAAGGCGGACTCTTCCAGCTCCTTCTGTATCTGAGAGTCTGTTTTAGGACAGGAGCAGCACTCTCCGCTGACATCCTCGTTTTCACTTTGATTGTATTTCTGAGGGTCTTCGGATTCAAAAGGAGGAGACCACGTCCTCGAGGGCAGCTTTAACCCTATGGACAAAGCCATTGAATGTTATTCTCCTGCTTGACACAGCAGGAGCAGATGTTTGACCCTACCATGAGGAAACAGCCAACAGGTAAGATCCCAAACCAGGGCATTCCACAGCCATAGCACATGATGGTACCCTGAACACCCAAGCTGGAGCAGTTTCCCCCTTTTTTATGACAGGTCTTTGATTCAAATCTATGCTGATTTTGGAATAAGAAGCTCGGATGTTGCAGCCCGGTTCATTCCAGCCCTTGGGAGCCCGGCCCGGAGCGGCGCACGCTCACCCTTCAGGCAGTAATCCAGCTCGTAGAGCTCGCTGTCTTCGGCCTGCTGCTGCCAGAACACCAGGTAGTGAGTGATGTTTCCATTGGGCTCGGACGGGGGCTTCCATTTCAAAATGATTTGGGATGAAGAATTAGAAACGGATATTGGATCTAATGGGACTGAAGGAACTGCAGAGAGGAAAAAAAAATTCCTATGAATTTAAAACAGCAATGTCTGTGGAAAGAACCAAGGACCTGGCACTATCGTGACTGCCAGTCTAAAGATGAATTTCTTCTATTTTTCTGTTTGCAAAGTAACATTAATTTAATGATACTGACCAGTAGCGTTGGTCTGGACGTAGATAATTTCACTCTTTGCACCGTAGGTCCGTCGTTCATCTGAAAAGGTGACCAGGGTTTTAACAAACACGGCGTACTGCGTCCATGGCTTCAAGCCTCTCAGAAGCCAGCCTGGCTGGGCCTGGGCTTTGGGCTCATTTGACCGTGGAGGAGGGTCCACATCCACAACTGTCCAGCTGTTTGAGCCACAAGCATCTTGGCCATCAAACTCCGTCACGTTTTGGTAGGGACTTGAAAGGTGAGGGGAAAAAAAAAAAAGTCTCAAATCAACAAAATCCTGAGGTCAGTGAGTTTTGCAACCCAGCTGCCTAACCCGATCACAGATCAGAAGCTGTTCGACAAGCAATCCAGGCTCATTATTTTCAGCTTGAAAATAAATGAATTAATGACAATAAGCTTGAAAACCTTGATTTTTAGAGAATGGTTCCCATCAAAAGGCAGCAAGTATCTCATCATCCCATGGATAATGGGGAGATGACAAACTGCAAGCCCACAGTTACAACACACATGGATGTTTAGAACAGTTGGAACAAGTAAGGTTGGATTGCTCTTAAATGAGGAATATTGACTGCATACAACACAATTAAGTCAGGGTTCTTAATTAGCACTGAAATAAACAGGCAACCCTGGAAATTTAAGTGAGAGAGACAGGAAAACCACACAGATGGAACAGCTACGTCCTCAACAGGTTTAATGTTTACTCTTTAATGCCAACTGTCATTTATGGAAGCCAAGCAAGGCTGCTGTTTTGCACCCCAACTGTGGCTCGCTGGAGGTGCTCCCTCCTTAAGCCTCCACTTACGCTTCTTTGTAGAAAAGCATAAATCCCAGGAGATCGCGGAAATCAGGAGGCCAGTACGGCTCCCACTTCAACAGGATCTTGTCGTGGGATGTTCTAATAGAAGAAAATTTCAACAATTCATTTTCACCTGTAACAAAAAGAAAAACAACGATTTTGCTGATGTTTAAAGGAATGCTTTCTGTTTGTAATTCACTTTCTGTTTTTCACAGATGAATATGAGGAAGTTTAGCATTGAGAAGAGCTGCTCATTAAAGCCTTATCTTCCTCACTATTTATGGCTTGAGCCAGCGTTTGGAATAGATGATCTCCAGAGGTTGCTGCCTTCTTTAAGTATTTTATGATTTTACGGAAGTAATCATGTAGAATATTTGAACTAAATTGTAGTTAGCTGGAAATCAAGAGTAGTATGTTTTAAAATTCATGACCATCTGCACAGATAAGCCCAGGAAAATGGTCTGCATGGCTTCTGTAGCCTCTGTCTTCAAAGGGAGTGAATCCCCAGCCTTGCCCCTTGCGAGCAGGAGGGGAAGACAACAAATGGTTGGTGGAGCTCTGCGACCCAGGGGAACGGACAGGACCTGCTCTGCCCAAGAGCCCAGGAAGGACAAGCCGTGCAGCTCTGAGGGGATTTGCCAGTCCTGCAGTAGCTGCACGAGGGAGGAAGAACATTAATTTCACTGGCACCACATCCAGAACAAACAAGGGCTTTTTTATAAACAGGATGCTGCCAACGTGCAAACCAGGCTTGAAACGAAAACAAACAAAGCGCCAAACACGCTGGTGACATGTGGGCTGGCAGGGGGAGAAGACGAGAGCACGCAGCAGAGCCCAGCTACAACGGGCAGGGAAACGCGGCTGTCCCCTGCGGCGCCGCACGATCCGGACCCCAATCCCGGGGAGAGCTCGTCAGCGTCTCGTGGGAGACGGGGACCCTTATGGAAAGTTTATCCTGGGAACGGGAAAAAACCACGGGGCCGGGGCGCAGAGGGGACGCGCTCGTGGTAGCATTGGTGCCCGGCCACGCTCTGAGGGTGCTTTAGAGGACTTTGGGACACAGCGCCGGGAGCAACACCGCTCCTCGGCCGCGCTGGCACAGGCAGCACCTCCCTGCTGTTGTTGAAGGGAGCTGCCAGCTCAAAGCACAACAAAACCTGTAGGAAAAACGTCTCTAGCTGTTGGCATAGCAACTCCCTCAGCTGGCTGCAGAGATGGGTGAAAACGCTGTTCCTCTGCTGTGTTTGCTCCCAGCGCACACTGTCCCCGCACGACAGCCTCAGAGAAGATTATATTAATCAGGTACTAGGCAGTAACGCTAAGTCCCAGCTGGACTGAGGTTACACTGGGCTAAACTCTTCTGAAAGACACAACAATACACTGAAACCTGAAAAACCCCCAGCTGAGCACACAAAGAGGAAGGCTTGCAAGACCAAAGCTGGCAGGGCAAACTCCTGGCCAGGTGTAGAACCCGTAAGTGCTTTTACTCGTGGCATATTGACAATGTCACCGCAGCAAAGGAGCAAGCGGCAAGTCACATGGCTAGTGCTTTACAGAAGGACACAAGGACAACCTCTGAGGAGGCTCAGAGCCTCCATGCAGAGGAATAAGAACACCAGGTTAGCAAAGACAGAGGAAAGGGAGAGCGATGCAACGTTTCCCTGTGTTTGGGAGCTTTCTTACATGACGCTTGGTCACCGTTTGTCTTCAGGGCTATGTCATTCCTTTCCTGGCGCCCCTTAGTCCCAGAGATCTCCTCCATTTTGTGGATTTCTGACAAGCACAGCTTGGGATTGTAGTGGAAAAAGAGTTTGCCTCGTGCAATGGTCAGGTTGTGCTTACTCCAGTCCCAAAGCTGGCGAAGATTCTGGTTGTCCAAGGCATAAAAAGAGTAATTCCTGAAAGCAGAAAATGAAAATATTTTTCGGGAAGAGATCTTCTGAAAACTCACGTTTTTGTTCTCATACACTGTGGAAAAATGAATACAAACTATCTTCCCCACTAGGCTGCAAGCCAGGGGCAGAAGAACATTTAGAAGTGACTTAGGAAGAATTGTCTACGAATACAAATCACTCAGCACCAGCACTCTCTGCGTTTCAAAGCACTCAATTAAAATACCTGTTGAAGAAACTCACCCGGCTTCCAATGTTTCTCCTCTAATCAGATGTAGTTTACGAAAAAAAGAAAGAGAAACCAAGGCATAGGACCGGCGGATTTTTAGGTAACCTGAGATTTCTTCAATCAAGCCAAGATTTGCTTCTAGCTCAGCTGCTATGTTATCTATGGAGAGGAAAACATTGGTTTTAGCTTTCTAATTATCAGAGAGAAACACTGATATCAAAGCCCAAACAGATTAAATGGAACAGCTCTACGTGAATCCAAATGACACTATAAAAATCAATTAGTAAACAAAAAACAAACAAAATAAACACCACAAGAGCCTTTTTTTTTTCCTGCTTTGTTTTTCTGAACCAGTAAGATTCATAAACAAAAGAGAAATTCCCCAGCTTGTGAAAGGTGTCCTATTCACTGATCCGACACCCAGTGCCCTCTACCTTCTTACTCATCCAGAACTTACTTCCTCCACGGATATTTATAACTAAGCTTCCATTGACAACTGTGCAGCCACGGAGCTCCTGGGCGGACGTCACCGAATCGATGGTCTTCTCCTTCCCATAGTCACAAACCTTGGGGCAGGGTCCTGCACAGGGAGTGCAGTGCAAGCTGAAAAACAAGGAAGTGGAGATTGCAGAAATGAGGTTTTCATGGAATATAATCTGGGGCCTCTCCAGAAACCCTCCAAGGTAGCGTAAGCGGCTCAGAGAAGCTCTTCTGCCAGGGGACTCATCACAGTGCACAACATGCAGTTCTTGGGAACCCCAAGTAGCTGACAATTATTCTTAAAATGACTTGACATTTCAAGTTCCAGTTTGAACTGTGCATCACTAGGAGATGAAACAATTTCTCCTCACCATCCTGTCCATTCCTACATAAGAGGAAGCAAAGTCATTTTGACTATCGTGGATAGCTCATCCACCAAGCTACTATCCAGTGCTAAAAGTATCAGGGTTGCATGATTAAGGAACCCAGTGTCCACCCTAAGAGGGTTAAATGTGTAGTTGATGAGCAGAGGGGCAGGCCATTCATCTGGGAGCCCTCTGATTAAGGTTTGCACATAAAGTTGCTTTAAAAAGGCAAGCAAGCATGTGCTTTGTGCTCTGGGGAAATGCTTCTTAAAAGGCAGCAAGATGATTGCTTGCCCTGGTCAGGACACCACAAGAATGTGCTTCCAACTAGTTCAGAGAGGAAGAAAAAAAAGAAAAAACACAAGAAAAAGGTGCTTTGTTGGCTCTAGGGAAAGCCCACAGTTGAGTTGTGATGTCCTACTGACAGCAGACCTGAGCAAGTTGGACTCAATGATCTTGAAGGTCTTTCCAACCATAATGATTCTATGATTCTGGGTGTAAGAGAGAGGCAATGGCTGCTGCTAACAAGGAACAAACCCATTTTGGGGGCCGCTGGCTCACCCGCTTGAAATGCAAAACAGGAAACAATAAAAAGTCCTGCTAGAGCAAATTCCCTGAAATTGTTCTATCAGGAGCAAATACATGTGAGCACAAAAGCTACCAATATTCATAGGAAATCTGACTCATCACAACATACAACGTTGTTTGGGACAAACAGTGAAGTTTTTAGTGATAAACAGCTTGGCAGTAAAAAATATTTAATTCATTTGCTGAAAAACCCTGGGAATAGTCAGAATGGCCAGTCCCTGCCTTGAGTCAGTTGTTTGTTATATTGTCCGTTTATGTCTGGCTCAACTTGAAGCTGCTCAATGAAAATAACTGCAGGGATAAGGGACAGATTCTGAGAATGGTTCACTCAAAATGTGCTCCACATTTTCGGTATTGCACATGTCTCTGTGTTGGGCTTTTCTTTAAAATGAAGCCCCTCTAATCCAAGGCCCCTTGGAAGGGAAGGGAAGCAACGCTGCTAAAGGCCTCTGCGCTCCCCAGCTCCCTCACCCCACTCAAGTGCAGGAAGAGTCTTCTGACTTGCTAACACCCCCACCTTGCCCTCTTTCTTGACGCCCTTTCCCACTTTTTCCAAACTTGAGAGGGAGGAAGAGAAGCCAAGTGACACAGAGGAAGAATAAACTATTGACACACACTAGATAAATGTATCGGCTTATACCACCTTGAATTACCGAGGTATTAGTTTGCCAATCAAATTAAATTAGATCAGACAATTGTCATGGACATTTAAATACTTGGAAGTTCCTCAGTCTGGACACCAAGTCCATTCCCTTGACCCCAGTGAGGGCTACACGAAGCATCTGGGCAACATCCAAGCTGCAGCACGGCTCGTTCGCTCGTCGACGTTTGCACTTACTTGCTGGAATTCATGATGTACCCGGACGGGCATTCGTGGACACACTCGTTATTGTGGATAACGTGACACCCGGACTCCCGGGCATTTTTACATTTGTTGTGCAGCTCCTGGCAGAAGCTGAAGGTCACGCAGCGCCAGCCCTCAAAGCGGTAGTACCCCGGGGGGCAGGTGTCCACGCATTTGCCGTCGAGGTAGAAGTTGCGGCAAGCCACGCACTTCTCCGGGCTGTTTGGCTCCGTGCAGTCCCCGAGACATTCGCTGTGGCAGCACTGGCCTTCAGGGGTGCAGCCTTGGGACTTGCAGGCCGGTGGGCAAACTGCAAAGAGAGAACGTGGAGAGGAGCTGGTGTTAGAGCCCGGCAATGCCCGACCACGCGGGGCACCAGCTGGTCGCACCCGTGCTGCCATTTGACTTCCCAATTCACTGGTTGATTTTAAACCTCATTAAATAATACTACTTTGGATTTGATGATAATTTGAATTTAAATCTCCGAAGAGGAGACCGAGCTCTCCTCTGCTCACGCGCTGAAGCCCCGAGCGACGGGTGAGATCTCACAGCATCAGTTTTCAAGCCCAGGACAGCAGGTTGCAGCCAGAAGGTTCTGGTTCTTAGTTTAAAAAATTAAATTCCCCACATGAGAACTCAAATAAGGCCCGTGCAGCCCTAGGGCTGGGGACCCCTCAGCTTCATCAGCATCTGCCTCCTGACCAAACATCAACCCGCCACCGATTCCCATGGGGAACAGGCTGCCCTGCACCCGGCTCGAGTGCTTCTCCGAAGGCAGCCGAGACCAAGGACATCCACAAATGTTATTGCTTGAGGTTTCCCTAGTTTATTTTTTAATTATCCCATTACTTAGCGCCTCACAATGCTTTTAATGAGCGGTTTGGACTTTGAAACAGAAACCAAGTGGCAGTCGAGCACAGCCCATGAGGAACGCGGAGCGGAGCGGCGTCCCTGCCCCTCCGCGTGCTGTTTGCTCAGCACCTTCGCACTCGGACTCGTTCGAATGGATTGGACAAATTCAGCCCAAGTGCGTCAGCCAGAACACGCCACGGAAACTTGGGTTCAGAACGGGTACAATAAAGCTGAAGGCACCGCTACAAGACAGCCAAAAGAGCCAAGTACAGCTCCCAAATACAAATAAAAGCGTGCGGGAAGGCGACATGGGCCTGGATCTCCCTGTATTTGGGGAAATTCCAGACACACCAATGCACAGGGGCTAAAAGGTTATTTTTAACTTTTGGCTACCTTGCTTGCCCATGCCAGTACTGGAACGTGGTCCCGTTTTAATCAACTAAGTGACCAGCGTGCAGGCTCCATAGTACAACATGCCACCAATGTTTTTCTGATGGGATCAGCAGCCGCCGTTAGGAAGAACCTCCCCCTCGCCAAGGGGCTGCATTGAGCGTGTTGAAGCTGCTCATGCCACTCTTGGCACAAGCAGCAGATGCCACAGCAGAGGGGAGAGCAAAAATGAGCAACCTCTGGGTCGCTCCAGCCTGAAAAACCCTTTTAACAAACATAAAATGGCTGAAGTTAAGCTTCTATCATAAAGTCCTTTTAATCCAGAAGTATCTGCCTTCTTCCACGTCAATCGGTACAGGTATTTCTCTAGCCATTTCCCAAAATTCACCCCTTTACGCGGAACACACAGAGTTCAGTAGCTCTGTGGTGGCAAAGTCGTCACCCGCCTACAGCGATAGCTCCTAGTTATGAGCCCACCACGTAGGAACAGCACCGCATGGAAGGGATGTCGTGGCAGGGGGCTAACGCAAACATGGAATTAAATTTAGTAATAGGGGACATCATGGAAAGCTGCGTCCGAGGAGCGAGTAAACAACCTGGGGCTGGTCCGAGCTGAACCGATCCGGTAAGCGCGAGGCAAATCCCACACCAGCTCGTGAGCAACACCGGCAACAAGGCGCACACAGAATGTTCCAGAATTCACCCCAAAACGCTATCGGACTTATTAATTCCAGTTTAATGTATCAAGGTTTATGGAGAGGGGGGGAAAAAAAGGCTTTTGGCAGCAGGAGGATGCGCGGTGGCCTCCCCACAGGACAGGAAGATGCTTCCCAGCTACGTCTAGGCCCTGGCCAAGCGCAAGAAAGTCAAAAACGCCCCTTGTGTCTTCGGCAGCCCACGGATCAGAGGAGCCGTTCCGCAGAGCTGGCCCGCGCGCAAGGCGGCCACACGCGGCTTACGGCCCGCCACACAATATTGCTGTATTTGTAATGGAAACTAATCTCCCAAGTCCTATGCTTATTTACACATTAGCACAGCTGCAGATATTCACAGAGCAGGAACTGTTTAAGTTCTCATCTCTGAAGGGTTTTAGAAGATATAATTAAGCTATTTTTGAATGGGAGAAAGAAAGACATTAAGAACAATTTTAACAGCTTTTTATGTCTATAAAACAGCTTGAAGAAAGAGAAGTAGCCAAGGCAACGTTTTTTTTTTTCCATTAAGCACTCAAGATAAGAAATTATCAGTCATGGTTCTGTAGAAATGTAAGTTACAGAGAACTCTGATGTCAGCTAGACAAAGTCTGCACCCTGGAAAACATTTCATCATTTAAACAAGCATCTGAAATGGTGCAGAAACCCCTCCAGCACCTTCCTTGCTGCCTTGCCCAAGCCCTACTGCAAGATGGGTGTGATGAGGCCGCCAGGCTGCACTGTGGGAGCTGCTGCATGAAAAAAGGAGCTTCAGCCCTGGCACAAGCAGGGTCCTTCATCACGGCTGCAAAAACCTCCTCCTCCAAGCTGGGCCTCTAGCTCCTACCCCAGGGAACCGGCCCCGCGCGGGGCGGGAGCGGAGCCGGTGCGGAGGTTCCAGCCTGCGGTTCTGGGGGGGAATAAATATTTAACCAGCGCAGGGCCCCGAAGCCTCGGGAAACAACGCGCGTTCCGAACCTTCCCGAGGAGGGATTGGGACGGCCGCTTCTCCAGGCTGCTGAGGCCCGGCTGGGGGACAGGCGCAGCCGACGCCGCGCGGAGGAATTCCTACCTCTGCGGATCATTCCCGGCACTTCCCTCCTTCCTGCGCCTCAGGTGAAAACAAAACACCCCGACACCGTAACACGCTGCCGGGCCTGTGCAGGTAGCCAGAAGATCCATATTTAACAGTCAATTAAGCTGTCCAGTTATTAGGGCTAGTTTATCCAAATATGACTGTTATTACAAACACCTGCATTGGGTTTTTAATTTCTTGCTTTCTGCTAATAAAACAGTGGAAGTGAATTGTAAAAAAGAGGGGAAAAAACCCAATTGACCATTGGTCAGATTTTGCTTTTCCCTAGCACTGAATTGATTTAAGCAGCTACCTCCTGGGTCAGCTAAGCAGCCTTTTTAAGCAGCTATAGTAAAATACAGGTTTATTTAAGAAGCCCGAAGCTGCATGTGTGAACTCGAGACCCTGTGTTGCATCCTGCACGGAGACGGAGGCTCCCACAGGGCTTGGGGACCGCTCGGGCCACCAACCGAGGTGATTTTTGCCTTGCAGTCGGCAGCTCCGCGTGGCCGTGGGTCAGCAGGGCCAGCGTGGCAGCCCCGCGGGCCACCGGCACCGACCAGGGCCACTGGCACCAGCCAGGGCCACCGCGGAGCCTTCGTGGCACTGCCAGGGCCGTTTCCTTGAGTGACACCCGACGGGTTTTGAGTATAAACAAGGCAATTAGGAGAAATTAAAGACTCCGGTTCCCCTGAAATCCAGGGCAGGAAACAACTGCGACAGCAGAACCGCCCTCACCCTTAGCCAATGCATTTGCTGCCTGTGCAGGGAGGCATCCAACCACCCGGCTATCTGCGGAGCAAACACGGCTTAACCCCTTGCAGCGCGGCCCTGAACGCGGCAAAGCTGCTGGAAACCCACGAGACCAACGCGCTTTGACAGCTCCCTGCGGGGTTTGCTCACGACGGGCTTCAACTACGAGGCTTATTTAAAACTGGGAGAAAAATGCAGGAGGAAACAAGGGTGAATCTGGCACTGAGACGGCTTAAAATGGCTTATTTCGGCTGTGATGTGTATAAGTCAACGCCAGAGCTTAGGTTAGTGTAATGTTAGACGAGCTGCACACGTGTATAATTCAAAGCCAGTGTCCCACTGGAACAGGACCGCAGAGCTCGTCATTTCCCTGCCTTTTTCCTCACACTGTACATGGCAGTAATTACTATCACATATATTTATTCAGGAATGTTCTCACACGCGCGCACGTGCACACATCTAATTCCTAGCGGAGCTGCCATTGCAATGGGAACTAAAACGTAATTACCTAATTGTCTATTAGTAATAACGAGCTCATTAGAAAAGCGCTCTTACGGCCCTAAGCAAAAATAAACCAGAAAAAGGAAAACCATGCACTAATTGCCCAAGACAGTAACTCCAGTGTGTGTGTGTTGTAACACAGGATCCAATTTTAGCACTGTATACTCTGCGTGAACAGCACAGCCTTCACCAAAACCCATACGGATTTTGCATCCTTACAACATTATGAGTTAAATCATGTTATATACACACAGACCTGAACTAAGGGCATGAATATATCCACTACATATAGCCAAGCAACTATTTAAAAGTAAGCGTATGCGTGTCATAAAGATGAAAATAGGCATGAAATCCGGGCAGTGGGTTCTCAAGGGGTTTTTGGAGGGTCAGAAGAGCAGGATGCTGCCAACCTCCCTGCCTGGGACTTGCAGCCTTGTCACCTCTTCACGTCCCCGAGACCAGGGCAGCAGGGCCAGCTGCCGGGCTGTAGTTACCAAGCGAAGTTCAGGAAACACCAAAAGAGGGTTTGCGCAAACCGTGTGCCCGTTATGCAGCGCTCGACCGCTTTAACGGCGGTTCTTCCTTCCGCTTGCCCAACACCAGAGATGCCCAAGGAACGAGTCCCCCGGTCGTACCGGCTCGAGCGCTTTTATCGTGCACCGCCGCGGTGCTCAGCACCGACTTGGGAAAGGGCAAGCGCCAAATGACTTCAAGGTTTTACAATCAGCACTAAAATTAAAGCGTTATTTATAAAATAAGCCAGAGTACAGTACATAATGCCACGACCCCACCGAGCTGCGAGCTGGGAACGCGAGGAGGTCCGTATCCACGCAGGAGCAGATAAAATTAACTGCAGGTGCCTCCCTTCCCATGGACAGGGACTTCCAACAACAACACACTGTTCCTAAAGTGAAGGAGAGGAAGCTCTTCCCATTGACATTTCTCAGGACGCTGTTACAATTGTTATCGGGTGTATCAGCAAGGATAAGAAAAAACTCCTTTCGGCTCCAAGGCCCTTCCCGGGTTCCGGGGCTCTCCGGAGCCACG